AGAAAGCGGTCCAGCTCCATCAGCCAGAGCCAGACTCCCGTCTCCATGGTAACAGAGACAGATGCTGCAGAATCAGAGCAGATCTTCAGTGTGTGTGTGTGTGTTTAGATGAAGCTCAGTCAAACACACAAACAAGCAGCGTATGCGTGCATATTTGTGTGTGTGTGTGTGTGTGTGTGTGTGTGTGTGTGTGTGTGTTCTGTGCTGTTCAGGAGGAGCCGTGGCTGGAGGACGAGCACAGTGAGTTTCTGGAGGAGCTGAAGATGGAGATGCTGGAGGAGCAGAGGAGAGAAGAAGAAGAGGAGGAGGAGAAGGTGAGAGACACCAATACCTGAACATCAGGACCAAACACAGACACACACAGACACACACACACACACATGATAAACACTCACTCTGCCTCAGTGTCTTGTTCTCCAATACACATATCTAAGCATCCATCAGTTCATTTATATGTGAAGCAGTTGTCGGTCTGGTCCTGAAGGTGTGCTCACTTTCAGTCCGGTCTCTCTTAAACATCGACTCCGGCAGTTCAAGACCACTGCTCTAAAACAACCACAGAGCATCAAAACTATAATGAGATTCATTGCTCTGAATACATATTACTTTAATGACTACTATTATTGTACACTCAGCGGCCACTTTATTAGGTACACCTGTCCAACTGCTCGTTAACGCAGATTTCTAATCAGCCAATCACAGGGCGGCAGCTCACTGCATTTAGGCATGTAGGCATGGTCAAGCGGATCTGCTGCAGGTCAGAGCGAGCATCAGAATGGGGAAGAAAGGGGATTTAAGTGACTTTGATCGTGGCATGGTTGTTGCTGCCAGACGGGCTGCTCTGAGTATTACAGAAACTGCTGATCTACTGGGATTTTCACGCACAACCATCTCTAGGGTTTACAGAGAATGCTCCGACAAAGAGGAAATATCCAGTGAGCGGCAGTTCTGTGGGCGCAAATGCCTTGTTGATGAGGCCAGAAGCCAGAGGAGAATGGCCAGACTGGTTCCAGCTGATAGAAAGGCAACAGTAACTCAAATAAGCACTCGTTACAACCGAGCTCTGCAGAAGAGCATCTCTGAACACACAACACGTCCAACCTTGAGGCGGATGGGCTACAGCAGCAGAAGAGCACACCGGGTGCCGCTCCTGTCAGCTAAGAACAGGAAACTGAGGCTACAATTCACACAGACTCACCAAAACTGGACAATAGAAGATTGGAGAAACGTTGCTGCTCTGATGAGTCTCCATTTCTGCTGACACATTCAGATGCTCGGCTCACAATTTGGCCTCAACAACATGAAAGCATGGATCATCCTGCCTTGTATCAGCGGTTCAGGCTGGTGGTGGTGGTGTAATGGTGTGGGGGAGATTTTCTTTGGGTCCATTAGTACCAATTGAGCATCAACGCCACAGCCTACCTGAGTATTGCTGCTGACCATGTCCATCCCTTTATGAGCACAGTGTCTCCATCTTCTGATGGCTACTTCCAGCAGGATAACGCAGCATGTCATAAAGCTCAATCATCTCAGACTGCTGAACATGACGATGAGTTCACTGTACTCAAATGGCCTCCACAGTCACCAGAGCTCAATCCAATAGAGCAGCTTTGGGATGTGGTGGAACGGGAGATTGGCATCATGGATGTGCAGCCGACAAATCTGCAGCAACTGTGTGATGCTATCATGACAATATGGAGCAAAATCTCTGAGGAATATTTCCAGCAGCTTGATGAATCTCTGCCATGAAAGATTAAGGCAGTTCTGAAGGCAAAAGGAGTCCAACCCGGTTCTAGTCAGGTGTACCTAATAAAGTGGCCGCTGAGTGTTGATCCTGTGTATGTCTGAGTAATCCTGCTTTTTAATCCCCCTGCAGGCGAGAGTGGCTGAAGAAGAGTCCATCACAGCCTCCTGCTCCTACAGCCCTGAGCAGATCCTCCAGACGGACCCATCAGAGATGAGCGTCCTCTCCCAGATCCAGAAGCGTCTGTCTCGGTGTCTGCGTCCGGATCAGATCAGCCCATCTGAGACTCCAGAAGCGGAGCGTTTCCAGCAGCTGCTGGAGCTCAAGTGCCAGATCCGAAACAGCGGCGAGTACGACCTGCTGTACCGCAGATCCGTCCAGTGCAGCGGCGCCGAGAACGAGCTGCGCTTGCTGAACCAGGAGCTGCGCAGCATCCAGATCCAGTGCCAGAACATCATGCAGCGCCACAAGACGGACTCCAAACTCCCAGAGATCCAGGAGCATCCCGAGCGGTCGGATAAGGACAGCTCCAGTGCGTATAACACGGCGGAGAGCTCCCGCAGTACACCCCTCGCCACAGAGAGATCTCCAGAACACAGAACGCTCAGCCGCCGTCCCGAATCATCCATCAGGAGCGCCAGTCCGGATCACAGCAACCCGTCAGAGTCTCCAGACGAGATCTCCAGCAGGTCCCTGCACTCCAGGATCCCGGTGCATCAGTACCGGAGCTACATGCAGATGATCCAGGAGCAGACGGCGCTGGAGTTCGGGATGATCAACATGAGCGTCCCGCAGGAGGACAATAAGATGGAGTGGAAGGTGAAGGTGCGGAGCGACGGGACCAGGTACACACTGATCACCCTCATCTATCATTAACAGTCTGAAGCACACCACTGAATCTGTCCTCTCCTTCTGCTGCAGGTACATCACCAAGCGTCCGGTGCGGGACCGTCTGCTGCGCGAGCGAGCGCTGAAGATTAAAGAGGAGCGCAGCGGAGGAATGACCACCGACGACGACGCCATGAGCGAGATGAAGATGGGGAGATACTGGAGCAAAGAGGAGAGAAAGCAGCAGCTCCTGCGGGCGAAGGAGCAGCGGCGGAGGAGAGAAATGATGCAGCGCGGCCGGACGGACACCCACAACACCTCCATCATGGAGATCAGCCAGCGCAGGAGCACCAAGAGGAGGAACAGAAGGATCCTGGACAGCTGGATCACCATTCAGGAGCTGCTGAGCCACGGACACACAGCAGCAGCAGAGGGCGCCAGAGAGCACAGCGCCTTCCTCTCCGTCACCACCGTATGACTGACTGTACCCGCCGGGTACGATACCTTCTGCCTCGTTCAATGCGGCACTTTTTATGACAGATGACTCTGATATTTTCACAATTTGTTAATGTTTTATAAGCGAGAGTTACACTGCATTGCTTTTATTTTATTTATTTATTTTATTAATTAATTAATTTATTGATTTATGTATTTCGGTTGCTGTGATATTTCATGGATGAGAGTAATTCACTTACAAAAATAATCATTTTGACATCCGACTTCAATTTCAATCTGGACATTCATTTATTTTCCTTCGGCCTTTATTTATCAGAGATCACCACAGCGGGATGAACCGCCAACTATTCCAGAATAGGTTTTACACAGCTGATGCCCTTCCAGCTGCAACCCAGTACTGGGAAACACCCGTACACACACACACTCATACACTATGGCCAGTGTAGTTGATCAGTTCCCCTATAGCGCATGTGTTTGGACTGTGGGGGAAACCGGAGTACCCGGAGGAAACCCACACCAACACGGGAGAACATGCAAACTCCACACAGAAACACCAACTGACCCAGCCGAGACTCAAACCAGAGACCTGAGTGCTGTGAGGTGACAGTGCTAACCACCGAGCCACCGTGCCGCCTGGAGGGCAACAGTAGAGTGTATTTTTGAGTGGGTTACTCTCATATTGTTTTATTAGTTTATTCTTGCTCTCAGCATCTGACGCAGCTCTCAGTAATGTTTACATCTCAGCGAGAGGAGAATCTGACAGCAGATCACTTCTCTGAGTCTCTGTTCAGAATTTTCAGAGGAATCTACTGAACAACACCAGCTCTGAACAACTCCTGTGTAGCTCGACATAAACCACTGTAACTACCTCAACGCCTGACACACACACACACACACACACACACTGTCACTATCACTCACACTTACACATATAAACACACACAGATATATATATAAACACACACGGAGAGACATACAAACACATACAACCACACCCTTACACACACACACACACACACACACACACACACACACACACACACACACACACACACACACACACACATTAATAAAAGTTTAATTAAATTGATTTAAAGAAATTGAAAGAAAATTATAATTTAAATTATGATGAAAAATAGATTACACACACACATACATTAACACACACACACACAAAAAGACACACACACTTCCAAAGGTCATTAAACCTAAAAAAAACAACACAATGTTAACACAGAAAATAAAAGTTGAAGTTTTCAGAATTTGTAGAAAACAATAACAGAATGTCAAAATGTAAACTGTAGATGTCTAGAAAAACAAATTGCAGACTGAAAGAAGTAAGTTTATAATTTCAAGAGGGAAAAAATCAGAATTTCAAAAAGAAAAAAAATCCTAAATGTTGATATGTCAGATTTCTTAAGAAATTTCCAGACTGTCAAAACATTTATTTTGAATTATTAAAAAAAATGGCAGAATGCAAAACGTAAATTTAGAGTTTCAAGGGGAAAAATACAGAATGGTGAAACTTAAACTAAAAATTTCAAGAAAAAAATGCAATAAAAATACAAAACAACAAAAAGCCAGATTGTTACAACATAATTTTATTTGCAGAATGCAAATTTCTAGAAAAAATGGCAGAATCTCGAGGTATTAGATACAAACAAAACAACAATATCAAAAAAGTGTTTGTTAAAACATTAATTTAGAATTTAAAAAATATGAATGTGAAACATAAATTCCAGATTTCCAAGGAAAAAGGTATTCCAGAATGTTGAACCACAAATTCAGAATTTCAAGGAAAAAAATAAAAGGCGAATTTTAATTTAGAGTTGCAACACAAGAATTCAGAATTACAGAAAATCCAGAATGTGAATTTCAAGAAGAAAAATCCAGAATGTCGACATGGAAATCAGAATGTCAAGATGAAAATGCCAGAATAGAGAAATATAAATTTAGAATTATAGAAAAAAATTATTAGAAAAAAAGTCAGTGTCAAAACGTAAATTTAGAATTTCTAGAAAAAATGGCAAAATCTCCAAGTCTAGAATACAAACAAAACAACAACAACAACAAAGCCTGATTGTTAAAACATAAATTCTGAATTTAAAAAAAGAGAAATATGAATTCAAGATTTCAAGAAAAAAAAAAAGTGTTCAGAATGTTGAACTGTAAATTCAGAATTTCAAGACAAATGGCAGAATCACGAGATGTAAAGTTAGAAAACAAAACAACAACAAAAACGCCATAAGATGAGGTTTTAACATAAATTCAGAATTAAAGCAGAAATTCTGAATGAAAAAAAATCCAGAATACAATTCCAGAATGAAAAAGAAAATCATAATTTATTAGATAGATTACACACACACACACACACATCCAATGGCCATAAAGGAACACTGATTTGACCAGCAAATGGGGTTTTATCACTGCATCAGTCCTAGTTAATTTTCTGAAAACTGAAACACACACACACACACGCACGCACGCACGCACGCACGCACACACACACACACACACACACACACACACACTCTTCCTCTGGTATTAATGCTTCCTAAACCAACAGTACTGTACGCTTTCAGTTCTTCAATGATGAGTTCAGAGTTTGTTTTAAAGCAGCGGTTGTAGATTTGTAAACGTGTGTGTTCTGTGTTTAGTCTGATTTGAAGAGCTCGTAGTCGTCTCTCTGGACCAGCTGAATGTGTGGTCTTTGTGATATTTTGACATTAATAAACATATTCTTCAAATCTCCCGTGTCATTAAGGAGTCTCTCGCTTTCAGAATAGTGAGAAATACACTGCGCTATATAAATACACTACATTTACACTTCAGTTTCTGGAAGTGTCATATTACATCACATGTCAGCACAAACTAACACACACACACACATTCAGCAGATTTCACTTATTTAGTGGGAGCAAAAATACTGTGTGTGTCTCTTTAAATGCAAATTAGTTGTTTCTTCCTGCCCTCTTCCAAAAGTGGGCGGAGTCTTTACAGCCTGAGCTTCAGATACTGCACTCTGCTCAGTTAATACTGCTGATTCTGGATTTCGAGTTGGTATCTTTGCAGAATTTTAACGCTCAAATAAAACTTGATATAAAAATGATTTTTTTTTTATTCACATATAAACAGAAATGTTGCTCAGAATAGCCTTAGTGAAGAAAATGTCATCTCTCATAACAGATATATTTAAGTCAGAATAAAACACTTATTCTGAGCTGTACATTAATTAAATCACAGAATAAGTGCTGATTATGAACGTGATTCTGTCTGAAATGATGAAACTCTTCTCATTGTCGAGTGGTTTGCAGGATAATGGAAGATAATAAGTGTTTGAGGTGAGGATGAATGCTCCGGCGGTGTGTTTGAATGTGTGATCCTGCAGTGTGTGATTGATCAGAATCCTCCAGCGCAGATAAACTCTCTCGTTAGCGGACGATGATTAGCGCTGTACGTCTGCTAATGATGTGCTGCTGCTGTCACTCCACATATTTATGGAGCAGATGATCTTTGATATGCTAATCCAAGAGCAGTAATGTCTCTCTGAGTGGCCGGACGCTCATTATTATGCAGATCAGCAGAGCTCTTCATTATCTGCAGAGCTGATGGAACACACACACACACACACACACACACACACACACACACACACACACACACACACACACACACACACACACACACACACACACACACACACACACACACACACACACACAGCTGTAGCTTTTAGACTGCTTTTCAATTATTTTTATTATGATGCTACTAAAAAAACACTGAAGTAAAATAGTAAACAATTTGCTGGACATTTTAGATTTAAATATATATATTTAGATCTAACTCAGCGGGCACAGGGCATCAACATGACATCAGATTGACGTTGTACTACAGCATTGTGGGGACATTGCATTTTGTTCTGAAACAAAAATCAGGTTATTGTCAAGGTTCAACGTCCAACCTAAAATCAACCAAATATCAACATCTAATGATGTTACAGTTTGACGTTGTGGGGACGTTACCACTATGACGTCTATTAAACGTTGGATTTTGGTTGCCATACCTGACGAATAAACGTCAGTATCTGACGTCAAGATCACTTGGTTTAAGATGTTGGCTTGACGTTGGATTTCGGTCACTTTCCGACACAACCTAAAATCAACCAAATATCAACGTCTAATGATGTTACAGCTCGACGTTGTGTGGACGTTACCACTATGACGTCTATTAGACGTTGGATTTTGGTTGCTATACTTGACGAATAAACGTCAGTATCTGACATCAATATGATGCTGGTTTAAGATGTTGACTCGATGATGGATTTTGGTCACTTTCCAACACTAAATCAACCAAATATCAACGTTTAATAATTTTACAGCTCAACGTTGTGGGGACGTTACTACTATGACGTCTATTAGACGTTGTATTTTGCCATACCTGATGAATAAATATTAGTATCTGACATCAACATCAATTTAAGATGCTGGCTCGATGTTGGATTTTGGTCACTTTCCAACACAAAATCAACCTAATATCAACGTTTAATAATGTTCCAGCTTGACGTTGTGTGGATGTTACCATTACGACGTCTATCAGATGTTGCATTTTGGTTGCCATACGTGACGAATAAATGTCAGTACCTAACATCAATATGATGCTGGTTTAAGATGTTGACTCGATGATGGATTTTGTTTACTTTCCAACCTAAAATCAACCAAATATTAACGTTTAATGATGTTACAGCTCGATGTTGTGGGGACGTTACTACTATGACGTCTTTTAGACGTTGTATTTTGCCATACCTGATAAATAAATATCAGCATCTGACATCAATATCACTTGGTTTAAGATGTTGGCTCGATGTTGGATTTTGGTCACTTTCCAACCTAAGATCAACCAAATATTAACGTCTAATGATGTTACAGCTCAACGTTGTGTGGACGTTACCACTATGACGTCATTAGATGTTGGATTTTGGTCGCCATACCTGACGAATAAATGTTAGTTTCTGAAATCAATATGACGCTGGATTTTGGTCACTTTCCAACAAAACCTAAAATCAACATCTAATGATGTTACAGCTTGACGTTGTGGAGACGTTACCACTATGACCTCTATCAGATGTTGGATTTTGGTCGCCATACCTGATGAATAAATATCAGTATCCGACATCAATATGACGCTGGTTTAAGATGTTGACTCGACATTGGATTTGGTTTCCATAACAGAAGAATAAATGTCAGTATTTGAGTAGTTCAGTATGAAATAACCAGAAACTCGAAATGTAAGTTCAGATCGGGAACTGGAGCTCATTGACAAGATAAGAGGTCTGATGGATTTAGACTAGAGGGTTT